TATTGTTTATTTCATTTTTATTTGTGGTATTTACACCAGCCGCTTAATAATACGGTTTTGACTTACATCTGGACGGCTCACACTTAGGAGAAGTGACATGCGAACATGATAATTAAAACATAACAATTTTCATTCATATGAGTTGTCCTTCAAATTTATCCAGTAATAGATTTTCTATATTTGCAGCCACTTGTAAATAAAGACAGAGAGAACCACAGTGTTTCTAGGAAGGAAATAGTAATGCCTGGAAAATGCTCTCATATGTAAGGAAAAAGACAGATGTACCATTAATTGTAATATTGAAGTGAGGTCTGTTATGTTACAAGCTATTAAATGGAGCAAAACCCTTGGCGCTGCAGATTTTAAGCATGGGAGAGTTTTAATGAGGAAAATTTACTTCCTACCTATTGGCTAGGAACAGTGACATCTAAGCCAGTTCTAGAGAACTTCAAAGTTAAGTACATACATCTCCATACATATTTTTTAAAAATTAAATAAAAATCAACATTTAAACATTAAAAACCAGATCCTAGAGGGTCAAGATTTTTTGCTACACATTTCCTTATTTTCCTGTTTGTGTCTGGTTTTTATCAAGTTATGACACTAGGTATGAACAGCTGTGTCTGCCATTTAATTGACACATCTGTCATCACCTAATGTCTATATTCTACCTCTCATCATCAAAAGAAAAAAAAAGCTACCATGAGAAACTGAAATATTTGTAAAATGAAGTGGATTACTACTTCCTACAGAGTAATGAATGGAGCACTTTTCTCAAAGCAAATCAGATTGTTCTGAAGAGCTTGCATCTGTTAGAGCTTGTCCATATTCTTAGTAGCATGTCTGCTCCTTCTGCAATCTGTGAAAAAAAGTGAATTGGGTGCCTTGGAATAATTAATTCACAATCAGCTTCTTGCAAATAACTAAATAAAAACAAAGCATGCTTACTTAATGTCAATCAAGTTCAATCATTCTCATCATTAATCAGTATCAGTTTAGCACTGACTGCAATCCAATTAAAAGACCATTATCCCAATAATCAGATAGAAATTGCTATTATGGAATGTGCATTCTGTGATAAATGTTTAACAGAAGAAAATGAAAGAGGACGAATGAAGTCTCTTTGCTTAGGAACATCTTCTCAAATAAATCCACAAACACCCTTTTAAAGCTTTACTGGAAACCCTAAATAAGGGGTAGAGAACACACAGCCTCCTGATATTGGGGCATCATCTCCTATCAGCCAGAGTTAGTGCATCAAATCATGTGGGATGTTAAACATGGCAGTCCAGCAACATCTAGAAGGTAATATATTCCCTGCACAAAATGCCAATGTACTAGGATCATCCTAGGTTTTGATGAATAATTACAGTTATAGGGCAAGGATGCTTGAGATTATTATGGTTTTTTTAGAAAGACTAGGAGCACATTTCTTTGATCTGATCCTCTAATGGAGCACAGGTTGTGAACATTGTGTTAAGAGTATTAACTACTGACAACTTGTGCATTGAAAACAAAGTGTTTATAGTAAAATTACAGAGTAAGTAATCATAAGCCAGATTCTGTTGTTTCATGTAGTACATCATATTAGAGTAGGCCCACTGAATAAAAAGGGATATAGAGAATCAAGTCCCCTGTAAATTCCATTGATTCAAATGGTTCTATTCAAACTGTGATTTACTACAGTACCACTGGTTCAAATGGGCCTACTCTGACTCTGACTTACCATGCTGAAGTAAATCTCAGTTAGACTAGACTCATTTGAATCAATGGAATTTACTCACTACATTTCCACTGATCCAATGGGCCTACTCTAGACTGATTTACTATACTAAAACAACAGGATTTTGGCTGTACTTAACTTTGGTGTTACGTCTAAACTCTGAACATTGGGTGGACAATTTTTGCCACAAATGTAGCTATCACTGAGTAAAAATAAACCTGAAAATATCTGTATTGTTTTAAAAGTAAGATTGCTTCTGCTTCTGACGGGAGTTTTTGGCTCATACAATGTATCACAAGGAGATGCATGGACGCCAAGAAGTTGCACCTTCCAAGGAATATGTAGTTTGAAACATACGTAGATATAACAACAAAATAAAGAGTAGAGTGACACCATCATATCAGTATTTTCCTACACCCTACAAATAGTAACCTATGAAGTGGAAGGCAAAAAAACTAGTTTTTCCATTGTGCTTTTGTAGGTAAAAGGAAGAAGGGACTATCAGGGTGACTTTTGCCCTTGCATTTCCTTCTGCAAGGAGCTTGAGAAGAAAATATCTGCCTTACATAGTATAGGAGCCTCAGGGCACAGTGGTTAACGTGCAATAATGCAGTCAATAATTCTGCTCACAACCTGCCAGTGATCCCAACAGATTCAGGTAGCCAGCTCAAAGATGACTCAGCCTTCCATCCTTCTGAGGTTGGTAAATTGAGTACTCAGCTCATGGGGGGGGGGGCAATGTGTAGCATAATTAAATTGTAAACAGCCCAAAGAGTGCTTTAAACACTATGGGACAGTATATAAACAGCACACCTTGCTTTACATAAGTAGTTCCCAACCTTGTGTAACCCAGGGGTTCTTGGACTACAGTTCTCAGAAACCTCAGCTAGCACAGCTGGTGGTGAAGGCTTCTGGGAATTGCAGTCCAAGAACCCCTGGGGTACCCACGTTTAGGAACCACTGCTTTGTATTATTGCAGTCAGCTTGATAAAAAAATATAGACTAGTCTCAGTTCCAGTGTATTCTGCATCTACCCAGTTTATTGTTTGTTCTTCCAGCAGGATATAGCAAAAATGTTAACTTCCTTTAATACCAACTTTATTTTTTTGTTTTTGAGTTTTAAGTTGTAGCTTTTGCACTGGCACAATTTTAAAAACAGCACATTGTGCTATGATCATTTTCATTCATCTCACTTGCAAATAAGCAGACAGGTTAATTAATTCAGCCCTCAAGTTTCATGGTATATTTGAAGATACAATACAAAGATTTCTTGACAGTCTATGTCATGCTCAGTGCATGCTATTAATTACGGCTGCAAAACTACACATCTTTACAGAAGTTTAATTACAGTTGCAAAGTTATGCATTTCTAAAGCTTTTTCTGGTTTATCAGATTGCATGGCTTTCTCCTATCTTTTCTCTATCTAAAGAAATAGCTCCAACATTGTTTTAACAATATTACCATGCAAAGCACCCTGTAATGTCTAAATGATGCATAACTAAAGCAAAACCACACAAGTTATAAAACCAGTCCAGAGTCTCTGCCCATAAAACTTTCTGTACTCAGAGGTTCACCACCACTAAAATATGCATGTATCCACATGGATTTTGTCAAAATATAAATTACATTACATTAGGTACATTTCCCTTTAATTATATCTGCTCTTACAATGCTTGGTAAGTGAATCTTTCTTTCTTTCTTTGTCAAAACTGCTGTTTTTCATAGGTGGCTGAGTGAGAATGTTCATTTTGAAACAATATAAAAATGTTAATTTTGGAATGTTTCTCATTCCAAAATGAACATTCTCACAAAGTTCCAAAATGAACATTCTCATTTTGGAAGGTCCTGTTCATTCAGATCTATAGATGGATTGCTTTGTAATAAAGACCACTGAATTTCTGGTTTGTTTACACATTCAAACAGTAATTCAGAGGCTGAAACTGAGAGCCTTACGAACACTTTGTTGACAGTAAAAGGTCAAAGGCTCTCTAGACCCACCTTTTTCCCACTAGATGAAAACTGTCACGTCAACAAACAGTTATCTCTAAAGCATAGAGTCTGAAATTCTATAGACATAAGGCTGTGATTAGCTCAAATAATACCATAAGGTTTGGGGTTTTTTAAAAACAAACTTATAACTCCTTAAGTTGGCAAATGATGGTAACCCTGAGATTAGCTACCTCTCCAAAAACTTCAGAATTTTGACTGCGAAAACCTGTCCAAGGATGACCTCATATCCTTTTGATCCAACTGTATCAGAAATCTTAATAGTAGAAAGCAGGTGATTCTCCTTTTCACACCAAACAGACGTCTTGTGCTAACACTGTCATATTGTTGACTATACAGTAAACTGGATTGATGTTTGAGTCCTGGATCCTTTAGCTATTGACAAGGAATGCTTTAGACTTCAGAGATATTTGGATCCTAGATTGCCAACAGCAATTGGGATCCCAGGTGTATTTGTATTCAAATGCACACAGACACACACATGAATGCACCCATGTGCACACAGAGATATACAGATATAGATATAGTCATTGACACAGATATGATGTAGATGATATAGATATGCAGGCTAGTCACACAACCATAAAGGTAGGTACTTGTTCACATCATACAACAGAATACATGCCATTTTTCTTGCTCTAAAGAATAGCTCAAAAGAGCCCAATCCAGGGAAAAGTTCAGCCAGACATTCTCATTCTACCCTTAAGAAAGATTTGTTCATATTATATTAAAATAACATTTTAACAATATCCTTAATTTTAAATATGCAAACTAATGAGAAACTGACATGACAGTTTCAAACAGAGCTTTATGTCAGAGATAAATTAATTAATTGTACTCTGCAATGTGCTGTTGCTGTTTCTTTGCTTATTTCTCATACAGGTATTTCCTTTTGCAAATATAAGCTATTCTTGCTGTTAGTTTAATTCTGTGTTTGGAGGCAGAATGTGTTGAATTTACGTGTAGATATGTCAAAGTTTGTTATTTTGTATAAATAGTGTTAAAATGATTAAAGTGGAAGTATAATGTCATACATTTGATCTGTTGTTATTACTTTTCTGAGCATGAATGAAACAGTTCAAAAGAGACAGAAGAAATACTAGAAAATAATTTTCGGATACAACGTATATTTTTATTCTACTTAGCAAAAGCAGAAACCACCTATAGTTCAAGAAATATAGTGAAATATTGCAGTTTCTTCAGGAACACAGAGGAGACAACTGGCAGAGGTCCACTTTCGCACGCATTCCTTAAATACAAAATATCTTACCCTTTTCCGCAGGTTGTAGGTCAAGATGAGGTTCCTGGAGAAAGAATGTGAAAAGGCTGTATAGAACTCCAGCACTTTCTGTAAGGCATCCCTTTTAATCACATGAAGGTCACAGTAGGTTAAAGCCCTTACGTTAGCACAAGACTGGGCTAGAGTTGTTTCCTTCCAGAAGACATCCCCGAAAACATCTCCTTTGCCTAGGAGGAACAATAACCATAATCAAATAATTACCTTTGTGTCAGAAATCAAAAGCACAACTGCAATATATTTGCAAAAAGCCAAAACCCTCTTTTAAAGCACACCTTCTATTTTATGCCACATTTTAAGCATCTGTTTTTAGCAGTGTTTTTGGTTGCAGTCTAGGGCTAAGAGCCAAACATCCTTGTATGAAAAAGTGAGCTGTAGATCAAATTCTGTTAATGACCCTCTTCCCTGGCCAGCACCATAAGGCCAGATCTGAGCCTCTAACAAAATATTGTCCATGTGGCATGGCATGTGTTCTGCCCAACCAGACTCTCAGCTGTTATGGGTGCAGAGTTAACCCAACACATCATGCTGTACATGATGGAGGTGGGACAAAGTGAAGCAACTGAGACAGTATTCAGGCAATACTGCCCAAAAGATGTGACTCTGAGATGGTTTGTCACATGGGCTTTGAATTTCCTTTGTGGTGGTGGTGAACATAAACCTATAATTTTGCACATTGTTTAGAGAGTTACACATTGGGATGTTGTTGCCATGCAGAAACAGATTATGATTATTAATTCTTAAGGATAGATCATTGTCCTGGAGTTATCTGATAATAGGTGGTAAATGTCCAGCATATCAAAGCAGAAACTGGTTAAATAGTTCTGCAGAGCTGGTTATCACCAGTGGATGGATGGAAAGCCATCTAATACTGGATGTGAAATTCTCTAATATATAGAAGATTTTAGTTCAATAACTCTGAAATAGGATATTTGATTAATCTGTTGAATTTAAAATGGGGATTGCTTCCAATAAATCTAAATCTGATCAATGTATTTAAAGCCTTAGAAGAAAATCTTTTCCTGTGCTGTTCAGTCAAGGAAACACATTTTTACCAAACTTTTATAAAGTACTATTACTGGTAGACACTAATATTCCGTTTGATAATTAATTAATTACAGTAATTTGCAGAAAGTAGGACAGTTAATTGAATGGCTGAATCTTAGCTGTCAGCCCACTGTTAAAGTTTCAAAAATTATATCTAACAGCGTAATAGCACTGAATCTTTTTTTGTTGTTTTTCTTTCATTGACTGTACAGCTTAATTGGCAGAGTAGATAAAAGTCACCCTGAAATTTTGATCTCCCACCCATCTCCTTTATGTGTAATTTCATCTGAACTCAAGTGGTGCAGCTTGATTTATACCGACACAAAATCAGAATAGTCTTTCAAAGAAAATGGGTGTGTTGAATTTACAAAGCATTTATTCTTCTTTCATCTAAACCCAATAAAACTATTTCCCTTCCAATTTTATGTGAAAAAACATTATATTGCAGAGGATCTGATCAAGAGAAATATTTTGCCCACAGAATCTGAAACAGTTCTATTGTCAAATGGTAGACAGTTAATACAAGATAGTGGTTTAACTAAATATCTCATTGCACAGACAGATAACAAGTGACCAGTTGATCCAGAATGAATCAGTTAATACAAGATAGTGGTTTAACTAAAGATCTCATTGAACAGACAGATAACAAGTGATATGCAATCCTCATACCATACTATGGTGGAAATAAGTACAGTATAAATAAATAATCAAAGTGCAGATGTCAGTAATAGGTTTGGGGAAAATTATATGGCAGGAAGAATTAAATATTGAGTTTGACTGGGAAATGCAAAACATGCAAAATGCAGGAAGTTGGTGTTCAAAATGTATTATACTGCCCAAATATGGTTTTAAGGAAGTTACTCCAAGTGGGAGCATTTTCCAGGCTACAAGCTATCTTGACAGGTTGTTGTTGTTGTTTAGTTGTGTCCAACTCTTTGTGACCCCATGGACCAGAGCACACCAGGCCCTCCTGTCTTCCACTGCCTCCCGGAGTTTGGTCAAATTCATGTTGGTAGCTTCAATGACACTATCCAACCATCTCGTCCTACCTCGGCAGGTAGTTGAGTTAATTCACAGCTGTCTTGACCCAGGCAACATTACTTACCCATGGGAAAGCCAAAGTTTGCCATCATGATTATTTTGTTTAAGAAACACCGAATGTATAAAACAGAGATTTCCATCATGTGTAGAAGGACATCTCCAAAACACGCAGCCACTTGCTTTTCATAAATAGGGGATACATTTCTGCTATGAAAATATTGGCTGAGAAATATCTAATATGATGTAACTTATTTGCAAATGTTCTTTCTTATGCTTTGATAAAATTGTCTTAATAGCAATTTGTATTGCAATAGAGTTCGTTTTTAAATGACTGAATGAGGGTTATCTAAGAAAAGCCAGAATAGTTATGGTGGGGCTCTTTATTTATCCATGAGAAACAGACCGAAGCCTATGATTTTGCTCACATTATGCAACAGAATTTTGGCCTATCTGTCTTGGTAGCCATAGAAACAAGAGTGACCAAGCAGATTTAATTATTAAGCCCTGCTTCATTAATATAAAAAGAACTAGCTGTTTGAGGGCCATCTGCTTTGTTTTTACTGATTTCTAACCCAGCTAACTACTGTACGTGTAGTGGAAAAATACATATAATTAAATATATGTAACTATAGTCACAATTGGGGACACCAAAATCAATCCTATAAAATATCCTGGCCATGTTAAGATGATCAGATTTCACCTTAGAAATCTGACACATGTATATCCTCTTATCACCCATCCCCTTCTCTCTCCTCAGTGGAAGTCTTCAATCAACCACAGTTTCCTGTTTGACCTGCATTTCAGGAACTTTGGCCTGAAAGTAGGTGTAGCTGTAAGTGTGTAACGTGTAGCCTCCCCCAGCTTGTCAATCAGGCTTCTGTATATTTAGCACAGAGGTTTTGAGAAACACGAGCAGCACACTTGAAAGTACAATCAGTTGAATGTGCTTACAGTACTCACATGGTGAGGGACTAATATGGCAGGACTCCTGGTAATAGATGCGCTGTAGGTGCCTCTTCAGGCCTTCATATATTTACAAGTGAACAGGAGGGCGTGTTAGGGGAAAGATTATGTCTCCACTACCTTTGTTAAATTGTCCCCACTTTCAGGTTACTATAACACCTCAACAGAGCTTATGTTTATCAGGTTTAGAAAAAATGAGAATCATAAACCAAGCTGCAGGTCTTAGCACAAAGTTTTTTTTCATATGTTGGCAGAAAAAACAAGAGGATAAGCTATGCAATACAAATAAATATGTATATACAGACAGAACAACATACCAGGACTCAGAAGACCTGGGTTTTAATTCCTGCTTGGGCATGGAAACTCACTGGGGGATGGCATTGGTAAAACCACTCCTTAAATATCTCACCTATCTTGAAAGCTCTATTAAGATTGCTATAAGTCAGTTCCAACTCGACAGCATGTAACCTAGCATGTCTGTTGTTCCTGCACTACATATTTATAAATAAACACACAAAAGGGTCTTCCTCCCCTCTCCATATATACATTATAGATGGAAAAACTAATTTATTTAGATACTTAAGTGCCCCCACATTAATGAAATCATAGTTTATTTGTTAGTCTTCCAGTACATTTCCTTCATATTTTTACCTAATTTTGAAATGCAAAGTCTTTTGGGGAAGCACAAGGAGAAGAACGAAGAAAGGTAGAAGAAGTTTCAAACGCATTTGAAAAACAACAACATATTTCTGCTTTCTCTGCATGGTAGGATTCCCCTCACCCCACTCCCCCACCCCACCAATAGTTCAGTAAATAAACAGTGAATGAATTAATGCCTGTGGCAGATTATGACCTCTCTTTCATTTTTTAGGACTTACATGACTTTGCATGCATACAAAAGATTAACACAGATGGCTGACATTCAATCTATTTCCCTTTAACTTATACCTTGCAAGAAACAGCTTCTGCATGTGAGTTCAAACACACTTGCCAGATACTTGATTCCCATATAAATTAGGAAGCCTCTAGATTTTCACTTCATGAAGAAATAAAAACTTCATTGTGGCAACTACATGGCCCATGAAACGAAAGGACCCATTTCAAAAACATCTGAAGATTTTCAGACAGAAAATCCCATTAAGTAAGTAACAGTGCAAGAAGCTTACAATTGGTTTGGAATGAGAATGGGTTCGATTTTCAGACACCAAGTGCACAGAGATACCATTTATAATTGTAACTGAGGGTTGTGTTAAGGAAGGCAAAACACAGTAAATCACTTATTTTAAATAGTGGTCAGGCATCCATATATTTTCAGACACCAAGTGCACAGAGATACCCTTTATAATTGTAACTGTAAATAGTGGTCAGGCATCCATAAGCAGCACGCTTTGCAATATGATTATACTCAGGATACCCAAGCATGTAGCCCAGGGCAGTATTGTGATAACGTGTACCCTCTTAAATGCTTGGAAGGCTCCTTATATCTCAGATTTTGAACACTGAATATTGAACTGAATTTTGCAAAAATGATTTTCTCTGGGAGGCTGACATGCTGCAAGCCAAAGTGCTACTCTTCCACGTCATTTCTCCTTCCTCTAAATAGAAAGGGCAGGTGGCCACAGCCCAGAACCTAATTTGGAAGGAGTGGGCAAGGTACCATTCTGCTGGGGTTGGACAGCTGTTACCATTGGGTTGTGCTAGCTAGGACCAAAAAGGGTCCAACAACTTCTGCAAAGCTGCCCACATCTATTTTGGAAGCATTCCCAGCCTCCCAGGAAAAAATATATATAAAGCAAATGAGGATGGCAGTCAGTGTCCTGGAGGGTTAGACAGAATGGGGGGAGAGGTTCTTGGGGGGGGCTCACTGACGAAGCAAAGTGGCATTTGGCATTTATTATGTTAAAGAACTTTACCGAAATAGTATAACACTATTGAGTGAGTGTGTGCAATTGAAGAAGGGTAATTGTTGTACAGACTTTGATTAAACAGGTCACATGATTAGAGCATTGCATAGTGCCTCCTAGTCCCATCCATAGCCATTTGCATTTTCCCCCTATTCGCAGGAATTTGTCTTTTATGGAGAATCAGAAACACACAGCGTCACGGATCTGGGGATGGA